TAATAGACCTGGGAAGTGGAAAGTATTAGTGTTCTGCTTCTTCTTCATCGATATTTTTTCTTTTGTAAAACAAAAACAATAAAATACATTTTAGAATAAGTTCATGCCCACTTCTGTGCAATTTAGTTGCACTGCAGTCATTTCCTTTTTGTTTTCTGAATTTATAATATATTATCACTCATGTAGCAGATTGATGATGTTGTTACAGTTTTGTTCCCAGTGGCAACAGTAATTATTCTCAACTTTACTGAGAATGTAGGTAAATATGGAAGAGTGAGCAAGTGAGAGCTGTTTTCATTTTATATRTATGGAGAGAGAGTTCTTGCTTTTTCTTCCCCTGGTACTCCTGTAAATATGAATTCAGTGATGGAAGACGTCTAATTGAATTTGAGATACACAAGGAACTGTGGCTGGCTCATCATACCATTATTAACTCCAACTTTTCMAAAAGGATGTGTCTGAAGGACATTATAGCTAAAGTAGAATATTTTGTGTAGCCAGCAAAGTGAAGGTTGTAATGCATCACCAAATATTTAAAATAGATTTAAAATCATTTTATCTGTCTTGACAGTATGATGAATAAACAAAATGACTACATCTAAACTGCTTTTTCCTTTCTTGTAGGCACATTATTCACATTCAGTGTGACCGAGTGAGGACAGTGAGTGATTTGTTGCATTTCTCAGTGACAGAAGTGCTTTGAATTTACAAAGAGCCAGTCCTGATGTGTTTTCCAGTGCACTGCAATACTTCACTATAATAATGATGTGTCATTTATAAGCTGACATGCCATAAAAGGGATCAAAAAATAGGAAATAAAAGAGAAAATATAGTTCAGTGTTAAGTATTAACTAAGATGTCAAGAGCTAATGAAACACGAACAGACACTATAAAAAAGACTATGACAAAATAAAAATTAAAAAAATGGTAATGCAGATTGATAATTTACATCTTTTCACTCACCCCATTTATTATTTAATGGCAATGGTGAGATGTATTTCAAAGGCAAGTGTTATTTGTCCAATAAACTAGAAACCTGGACAGCACAAATTCTCAGACTGAGGCTCTAACTTGAGACTTTATTTTATTTTTATCCCATCCATCCATCCATCCATCCATCCATCCATCCATCCATCCATCCATCCATCCATTTTCTTCCGCTTATCCGGGATTGGGTTGTGGGGGGCAGCAGCAGAGAGACCCAGACTTCCCTCTCCCTAGCCACTTGGGCCAGCACCTCTGGGGGAATCCCAAGGTGTTCCCAGGCCAGCTAAGAATCATAGTCCCTCCAGCGTGTTCTGGGTCTTCCTCTGGGCCTCCTCCTAGTGGAGCATGCCCAGAACACCTCACCTGGGATGCGGCGTCCAGGAGGCATCCTAACCAGATGCCTGAGCCACCTCAACTAGCTGTTATTTTTATCCCAATTTAATCATATAATTTGGTGTAGATTTTATATGAAGTAAATGCTATTTGTTTTTGTACTTATTTGTTTTTTGTAATATGATGTTTTTTGGGATTATTTTTAACAATGCAAATGAAGGCAAGCCCATGATTTGGCCAAAGTCAATGTCAGAACTGTTGAACAGGTGTGTGCCTTGATCCCTCTGCTGCACTTGAGTCAAAATAACCCCCAAGACCTCATTTTGAAAACAGTTGGGCTATAATCTAAAGTAGAATGGCCCATGTAGATTATCTATACTAAATTGGTCCAGAGGCTGCACATTTTAAGGGAACGTGGACTCTTTTCTACTTGAATACCCCAAATGTCTGTGTCAGAAAGCATGGTCAGACATGGATTGGCGGTATGTTATAGGGGTCTCATTGTAAAGCTAAAGCAACAAATTGAGAACATTGTTAAAATGTATATGACATYCATGGGTAGAAGGATCTTCTCCTCCTTTTGGACTATTTATGAAGGCAGTCTTTGCACTTGTTTACAGAGTCCTTCATGATCCCTCGCACATTGTGCCCCTTTCGAGTTTTATTTTCTACCTTCAAGGTCTGATTTGATTTAATTTGACAAYTGTTRCAATGTATTTTACAAACAAGTTTAATCAAATAAATTAAACTTAAACTTAATTAAATAAAAATGTCCAAAATTTGAACAATTAAGTCAAGGTCAACCATTTAATGTGAATCTTCTTGACTTCAYGAAACTTACCAGTAACATGGCTAATTAGCTAAAACATTTACTTTCATTAAGGAGAYATTAAAGACGTGTAATGGTATGTTGAATCAATTATTCTATCTCCTGCTGGTACAGCAGGTCATACTATAACTTTAAACCTAATTAGATCACTTACTAATGAATTTGTGAAGTCACAACACAGCATCAGCATTGAAATATACTCATGGCAAGCACAATATGAGGTCTGAAAGTCAAATTATGTGTTAAAAAATCTACTTATAATTAAAATAGTTTTTAATTTGGCAGCTTCACCTTTTAAGTTATGCATACAACTTGGTTAGGTTTTCTTTTTTAATATTATTTATTTAAAAATCATTAAGTAAAGGAAGAAAGTTTTTGGCATCAAACAAAAACCATTTTTGAAATTAGTGCTATCATTCATAAATGGAAATTAGTTGCTTGTTTTCACTTATTTATTTATTTCTTAGTTTGTTTGTTGTCTGTTTGTACTTTGTTTTGTTTTTTCACCTGTCATGAAACCACTGACAGAAAATAGACACTGCTAAAAATGATTTAATGAATTTCTCCATTTATGACAATACTGTTGTTTTCCATCTTCCTAGACAAATTAATTAACGCTTTTATGTGTATGCAATATTTTTTGTTAATTATAGGAGTTCATATTTACTTTTTACTTCTAATCCTTTGTAAGATTGCATTATACAGTTTGTTTGCCTTACTTTTGCATATTAATCAAGAAAAATATGCAAACCAGTCAACCTTGAAGTGATTTATAGCTACATAGAGCATGTTTTTAGGAATAATTATCAAATTTTCATCAACATATAGATATTTGAGGTAACATTATTAGTGGCTTTCTTTAAAATACATACAAAAAGACATGCAAATAATGGTAATACACTAAAATGCATCTTGCACAGTAAGTCATTTGTCTTTCCATCAGACAGCTGCTTCAGTGCTGAGTCCTGCTCACGGCCCACTGTGGTCCCTGTGAACACACGTGGACTTTTTTTTTTTCACTAAGACAAAAAAAGAGGGCTGCCCTTTCATTGACTGTGACAGCAGGCACACATCCGTCAGTGTTTGGACATGATGAAGCATGTTTAGGTGAGAGTACAGYAATGGTCAAGCTGACTGATTTAGAAGTGAGAACTGTGCTGATGTAGATTCTCAATCACCCAGGACAGGACATGGTCCAAAAAGGTTCAAAAACAAAACAGCTTTTGTACTCAGATATTTTTTTGTGCATGCAGTGATTTGATATAATTTTATACTTGGTAACAAAATATTTATTTTGTGCTTATATCAGGAAAAAATACACTAGTTGTTTATATAATTGATGCAATTTTACAGTTCATTCTTTTTAGCTTTAGTTGTGTAACCATGCATTATAATTTGCTTTGTGATTCACAAATGTGCGTTTTTATTAATTAATTTTATTTCTTAATGCATATATTTTAATGYGTTTGTGATAATTGTCAGTGCAGCAGAATAGTGACATTTGAGATCATGTTTTTTCTTACTGTATACATGACAATAAACAGTTTTAGAACTTGAACTCATGCTATGTGCCCTTTCTTTTGCTTTAGACAAAGACGGAAAATTTAAAAAAAAGTATGACTTTTCATCTTTTCAAGTGCTTCTTGAAAATAAATTAGAAATAAAGAAAATGAAAAGCAATTAAATGTATTATACTACTTATTTTTTATCCCCCTTTTATCTTTGAGTGTTAATGTTTSTGATTGTCAGTGCTATGTGTTTTTTGATCTAGACCACACAATTAATATTTTACTCTACACACATTACCAAAGAGGTGGTATGGACTGAATTCAAACTAGGTAAAATAGTAAATTGTGCCCCATAGATTTGCCTGGTGCATAAATTCTATTTAYATTTAGCTCAAAGATTGAGCTAGAAGTTAAGAAATTCTGACAAAAATGAAACGATCTGTGTGATTTAGGCCTTTAGTTTGAGATTGTGCAAGATCAATGCACAAGATAATCAAAACATGTGCCTTCCCCAGGGGAAAAAAAAAAACATTATGTATGGTGCATGTCCTTTCCCTGTGGGTTTCCAATCAATTTAACATGGCAAACATGTCTAGCTGCTAACCGTGCAGTGGTTAGTCCAAGACATGACCCAGCATAAATGAATGTAAAACACATGAACAACACTGTTTTTAAAGCTTTATWCATGTTCCAGCATACCACATGTCCTCAGGTATTAAATTGAACTTGTACCATTTTACAGGAAACAAAAAACACAATTGACAGAATTACAAACGGTCATTACAAAAATGCTGGTGGAAAAACTAATGCCTTAAAAAAAATAATAAAATTTTCTCTTAACAAACACCAGCATGAATAGCTTTCTAATTCTTCAAAACAAAAGTAAATAAAAAAAAATCTGAGAGACTGCTACCCAGGTTGTGAAAGATTATGCTCAGCTGCAAAACCATTCATTTAATAGGACATTTCTTGCTCTGGTGTATTCTTAATTGCACTCTGAAAAACATGCAACAACATCTGTGATTGTCTGTTTTTTTAAATTAATTGTTTTAATCTTAATTTTTTTTTTCAATTTCAGGGAAGAGGCCTTGATGTCGACGTACTTTGAGACTGTGCAAGACCTGCTTGCRTCTTTTGGGCCTGTTCGTGATTGTTCCAAAGACAACGGTGGCTGCAAGAAAAATTTCAAATGTGTGTCAGATCGACAGTTGGACTCATTTGGCTGCATGGTAAGCAGGCTTAGATAAAATCATGGTAGAAATATACTGTACGTATACAATAGTTTAATGTCACAAAAGCGTTTTTAATATAAAAACAATTGTTTGCTTTTTTAGTATGTCACCTATATCAGATCACTATTAGAAAATATTCGTGTTGTTGGTCTGCATTGGGGTATTTATTTGCTCTTTTATGGAGAATGAATTCAAAATTGAAACATAGTCTTACTTTTTCTCACTAAAACACTTTTTTTAATCAATTTTTAAATTTCAGCAGGGTTGATGCAAAATGCTGAGAGGTGCCTGCTCAGGGCAGGCATTTATGTTGGGGTATATTATGTGAAGTTTGTCTTCCCAGTTTATGGTTCAACAGGAAATAGGTTGTTGCGGCCTGTCGGGAACCTCAAGGTTGCAGRCCAAAGAAGATTTGCTAGGTTATTTTAAAACCACCCGTGCATTTATTCATTCATTTGTTTCCCAAACCGCTTAGTTCATTATAATGTAGAGGTTGGAACAGTGGGTACAGACATCCCAAGGTGTTTCTGTCTCAACTAACTCCCTCTATGTCCTGCTGGGCAGACACTCACCATGCTGCTCTCTGGACAGCTTGGCTTTATAATCCTTCCAGCAAGACCTGGCAAGCCAATTAGACCTCTGAAGGGACCTGCTCAAGAGGTATTCTTTGCAAAATCCCAGTTCCACTTCCCTTTAATTCTTTTTAATGTWGAGAGTTTCCTTTTGGATTTCCAAACATTAGGCCTAATCCCTGAAAAGAAACCTGGCTACCTTTAATTTAACCACCTGCATTAGCTTGTTCTTTTAGGACTGTGATCACTCAGGACTCGTGGCCACAGATAAGATGGTAAGAGGGGAGAAAAGGATTTAGCCTTGCCGTGTGGCTCAAGGCTGCCTTTACTAGGAATTCTACAGCAAATAAATCACTGCAGAAGCAGCAACCAGCTCAAAGTCGATTTGACATCCTCTATGCCTGTGATTCATCAAAAACAGTCTGAGATACTTAAACTGGTTTACCTAGAAGAAAAATCATTCTATCTCAGTTTATTACCTCATAACAAATAATTGAATTACTGTCCTATATATATCTTGTCACGTGTACTTGTTCTGTGAAATGCATTTTTTTTTTATATTATACTGTTTGGTATCTGTTTAAAAGCCTAATTGTTRTGATTTACCAGTTACACTGTCAGCTAGACTGACTGAGCATTTGTAAACTAGTGAGCAGGGGGTGTTGACAACAGATTATTAGGGGACAGTGAATTGTGTTCCACTAATAATGCTGGAAACAAGCCTTCAGGGGCAACAGATAGGCTGCGCGTGCAAGGCTTCAAGCTTGTCGTATTTCATGTGTTTCGCCCCTAACAGTGCACGATGTGTCTCCTATAGTTTTTGTTTTGGGGAATTCATATTTTCAGCTTGCGACAAAAAAACACCCAACAGCCAGGAAACTGCCAAAGGAATAGACAGCAAGTAAAATGAAAGGTAATCCAAGACTGCTGCACCATCTGTGCAAAATAACTGATTAAAAGATTTAAAAATGTATAGCTGACACGTCTTTACAAAAACCTAAAAAAACAAACAAACAAGAGAATTTATATTTATTTAAGTTGCTTTCACAATAGCATGTCTTTTTAAATGTAAAGGCTTTCGTCTACCGTGATAATGGCAATAATTTAAAAAAAATGAATTTTTGACATGTCATTAAAAATAGTACATTGGTGTTTTCTTCCTTAGACACACACAGGGTAAAAACACCGATGACTCACRCTTTTTACACTGTTTTGAAGAGAGCCTGTTTTTACACGGCTTTTTACAGATTTAACCATCTATGACTATGTTTGAGTTTAGTTTGGGAATTGCTCAAATTAGTAACACCCCTAAGAAAATGATTGAAAATACAAAGAGGATTGTTTTGCTAAAACACAAACCGCCTTATTTTTCTTTTGAGTTGTTGTAGATTTATTAACACAACTGTTGGATATGTTTTTAGTTTTTTTTTTCTCCTTGTTGCTTCATAAAACGTGGTTTGACTTTAGATATAATGCTGTAAACTACAGTGCAACAGAGATTAAGCCATGGCATATTATAAAGCAAAGGGTGACTGTACTCTTTAGCTTTTTGACAGCACAGAGCAGGACTGCGTTGTAAAGTAATTAAATTGATGAGCCATCCTAATTATGGGAGGGCGGTTCTGTGAGTCATTAGAAGCTTGGATGAAGCTATAAATCGATGGKTCTTTTTGTTGTTTGTGTTGATCTAAGACAAACACACACACAGAGCTGTTTTGTTGCTTTCCTCTTTTCATCGACTTGCAACTGAAACAAGTTTGGATGCATCATCTTTTTGAAAATGCTGTGTAGCTGTTTTGAGGATATCTTCCCCTTCTTGTCATGACACATAGARCACTCTGTCTTGTGCAGTTTTGATTAGTGCTGATGGTAAATGATGAATAACAACTAGATTTGTTGAATGCAGAAAACAGACACACTAAACACATATGATCAATTACTGTATGATTCAAACTGTGTTTTGCTGTCTGATCTATATCTCATTTTCCACAATTTGAATCCCACCGCGTTACTGTGAGGATTAATCCATATTCATAGATTAGATTCATGTCTCTAGGATCAAAATCATAATAATAATCCACTCTTGAAAGTATAGGAGCTCCTGTTGTGTAGCGTCATGCAGTGGTGATATCTGCCAAAGACGATATCAACGGTTTTATTGTCTCTTCTAAACCTCTGTTTGAGTCTTTTTTTTTCTTTTTTTTTTCTTTTTTTTTTTACTGTGCTAGCAAAGCATTTGCTCTATGGGTAATTCATTAAAATTATGCATGAACAGTGATGGAGCACTGTGATTTACAAATAGAGCTGGGCTTGCAGCAAATTCAGCTCTGGCATTTTCCCTGACCAGTTGAATATTCCCACAACTTGCACACATTATGTGAGGACATTTCAAATACACAGGTAWGCCAACACTAGCTAAACTGTGGAGGGGAGGTCCACTACTGTTTTTCAGAAACACAAATAAATACATAGTTAGTTAGATAGACTTGAATATAACTAGACTGAATCATGCCTATCCCATCCACTGTTAGCATCTGTGACAACATGAAGGAGCAACWCTGGTGACCATAGAGGGCAACAGCTCATTGCAACTATTTGATTAACAGCAAGCCCAACTGGATCTGTGTCACATTTTTTGTAATATTTTCCAATTAAATAATAGAATTGTTAAATGTGTTAATTTCATTCAACAATCATGTGAAATAGCTTGTTATATACAAGAGAAATATGCAATATAATCAACAATGATCCAAACCAGTAATTGAAAAATTATGACTCACCATTATAGGGTATATTTATTATTTATTACCTGTCATACACATTATTATTATTATTATTATTATTATTATTATTATTATTATTATTATTTACCGGTCCATAATTAGAAAATGGTTACTGCACACCACGTGTTCCAGAATTAAACTTGCCTCCATTGATAATGTCTTATCATTTTCTCAACAGGTCAGGTTTAATGAAATACAAACCTAAAATAGTTAAATATATAATGTTGTTTTAAACTGTGTGAATATTGCTTAAATCAGAGGCAAAATCAGCTTGTAATACTTAATAAGTAGTGCTAAATTGTAGCATGATTCATCAGAGTGCTACACTCTGTATAGCAACATGCTACAGAACCTATATGCTGCCAATTCAATAATAAACAGTGATTATATCAGCTTTATTAGCTTATTTAAATTTTAAACTGTTAAAWTATTAACTTCAGTTCTAGTCAGATCACAYCCACATTGAGRTAAATAAGATTAAATCTGCTTACTTGTGAAATGAGACAYATTCCTTTTTCTCTTCTGTTCACAGCACAAAGCTTTCTGGCATTTCTATTTACATTAGATAGCTGATATATGCAATATATGAATGAGGAATAATGATTTTGTTAATATTATTAATAGTTTTTATTTTATTTTTTTTATTTTTGCTATTTCCACGTCATTAGTCTTCTTCTTTTGCTATTTTACAAACATGTACAGTAATGTTACATTCAGACTCTTGCCCATTCTGCTTAGTCTCACAGCTTCCACAGTAAATCACATGGTCAAGTGCAAAGCTCATTCCAGCTGTTATATATACCTCTGTGATTCAAGCTCTTTACCTCTAAAATTTCACTTTTTATTTCAAAAAGAGCAGAACCTAAGAGAGGACATGCTTAAAACAATAGTTATCAAAACTCCCATGCAACGTGTTCTTTCCTTTTGTTATTTTAGACCTCATGCAGCTGAAAAGTGAGATTTAAACACTTTCAAAAACTCTTTAAAAATAGACTAAAAATAATTCATTAGCGTCTCTGTGTGCCACTGATCATTGTTCAGACAAAAACGATAGACAAAGCCTTCTAGTCTTCAAAGATTAACTCACAGAATCACACAGTGATTTTTTTTTATTTTACTTTTTTATTGAGTTGGTGTTATTTCATGCACTCTTGTCAGAGTGGGTGCTAACACAGAGCAGTGACATGCCACACAGAGGGCTTAAAATCCATTATCAAAGTCTGTCCCTCAAGGCTGGCTGCTGCTCTTAAGGCAGTCGAAATGCATTTGCAACGAATTAAATTMAAGTCGGCGCCAGCTCCGAAGTTCATGATTGTTTATTCTAGTTTGCCTGTGTTTCCTCTCTGCTTCTGCTGAGCCCGAGATGGTGTCACTTTATTCTTGTAGTCACTGAGTTTACACACAAGCAAACAGTGATTTTAGATGATTAATGATTTTTTTGTTTGTCCCTTCCTTTTTTCATTACTAGTCTTACAACTTGCCTACATTATGCAGCATGTTGATGGTTTGTACAAATATGTCATATTTCAATTGTTTGTAACTGGGAACCACGTACTGTAGAAGAGATGAAGAAGAATTAAACTACATCACTTTAGTTATCCAATAGCTTCCCGAAGATAATAATAAAAAGGTACAAAGTGCA